TAGCTAGCTATAGAAGATCCATCTGGAAAGCAAGTTTGTTAAAGGGGCTTCCTCCACTTTGTACCAGCCCCTATTAAGAACCCAAATTTATACTTCAAATCCATGTTCCAAATAATGGTCTGTTGATCAGCAATAACAGGACCAACTGGGAGCTTGTTAGAAAAGAAAAGAATAACAATAATGATAATTTTAAAACACGGACTTAATGTTTTCTGATATTACTTTACTATTAAATAATGTTGAATTCTGAAAGTCAAGAAAAATGGAATATAAGAAATTCTTAAGAAAAGATAAGCACTGTTGGTAAATAATGAGTCTAGACTGGATTAAGTACAGTGCTAGCTTGTAAGACAAAGGCAAAGTTCACAAGGTGTGTTAAAAATAGGTAAGTTCAGCCCTCCCTGGTGGCACAGCAAGTTAAAGTGCAGCAATAATAAGCTAAAGCCACTTCTGTATGAGTTCGATCCCCACCTGCCCGGGAGGAGATCCACATGGCGCAGCAGACCTCTCCTGACCCGCCCGCTGCTCCTGACCCGCCTGTTCTGCTCCCCACTCTGTCTCTGGTGAAGCCTCTCGCCGCCCCTGAGCTTCTGGCCTGTACCCCAGGTCTGTATGCACAAATAAATAAATCTTTAAAAAAAAATAGGTAAGTTCATAACCTATAAGGCTTTTTGAAATAATGTGATAAACAGAGGTTTACTTGTAAGTAGCAGTGGGTGGAATGACCAAGCCATCATCGTGTCATCTGTGGACTGATAGCTTTGGCCCCTCTGTATCAGCCACTTACTGAGGACACCCTATTCTGAAGCCACAGGTGTTCTTCCCAGGAAACACAGATAAGACCCATGGCTTCTCAGCAGGCAAAGTGGTAAAGCTACAGCTATATCTCAGTGTATTTGCCCTCACTCTCTTCCATACTGCAAATCTGTATTATCAGCCCAGGACACCTTTATCTTAAGAGAGTCTTTGCTCAAATTATCAACTCCATTCCCCATCACCACACCGTCAATAGGGATAGACGATGTGAAGAGCCAGGGACCAGGCACAGGAACACTGAGAACCTAGAAATCAGCATGGTGAGCCTTCCAATCTTATTTGCACCTTATCTTAAATGTGCCAACTTACCCACGGCTTGCTCTTGCCACTGGCTGTCTGCTGTAAATTTATTTCATAAATTATGTGATTCAAGCCTTCAAAATTGCTCAACCTGTTAATTTCATAACCTCTGAGATAGTTTACCTGGTAGTGTACTTGAAGGCTAACCACAACATGAAGGAAATTAATGAACCTAATGAATCTGAAATCTACATTTTAGAAAAGTCGTATCCATATTAGCCTTGAAGTAGTACTGAGCAGGAAAGCCAGGAAGAAAGAGAAGACTCCACAAAGACAGAAACTTGGATCTCAGAAGAACCTTGTTCTAAATAGCATCCTGATGAAAAAGTTCTGGAGTGCCTCCTGACAATAACTAGCCCCAACAGAGGGCAGGAATGTTAAGGGATCCCTTTTCAACAACTACCATGTAAGATTTGGAGAAGTACTGCTACCCTTGGGGCTTTTCCTTTGAACTCCAGATCTGTAAAGTTCATACAGTTTGATGTAAGCTCAGAGAAGTACAGTACAATACACCTCAATATTAACCCTGTAATGTCCTTCCTTACAGAAGTTAGGAAAACCTTCTTTTTCATATATGCCATATTTTAAGAACAACAATCCAAAGGTCATAGGCCACCAGAAACAAAGAAAGGGATATGACTTGGTTAATGAGGTTTCAGTGACTTTAGAAATATCATCCAAAATCAGAATTAAGCAGAATAACTTAAGATGGTTCTTTAATGGACTGTATACAATCCCACTTACCATAATTGCTGGCTTAATCAGCTTGTCATTTTATATATTTATTACATTTACATTGCTCCTGAGTAAGGGCTTAGTAAATGTTCTTAGTTAAGAAAAAAACAATGAAAATGTCATCTTTTCCTTAATGTATCTCAGACAAATTTAATTACTTCAATTCCTTAGGTTCTGAGAATGAAGGCATAATTCCACATTCACATTAGTATGGTTTATAACACTACCTCGCTCTGTCTCTGTCTCTGGAATTTATATCTGCTGTTATGGATTCCTTTCTAAAGTTTTACATTCAACTCGATGAAACACATCAACCTATCCATTAAGCAACAGTCATGTGCCAAAAAGATAAGGGAGTCATACTACATGCCAGTCAGCAATGCAATCCAACCACTTCCAGAAGTCACCAACAATCATGAGTACGGAATATGCTGCACAGAAAACTTGATCAGCTATTATTTTTAAGTTCTTCTAGGTCCACATGTAAGGCATCTTCGGAAAATCTCTAATTAAAACTTAAAATCTACAGAACAATTAAAATAGAAGCTGAAAACAACATTATACAGAGAAATCAAAACCAAGATCTAAAATGAAAGACTAGGTGCTGAGAATATCATAGTGAAGAATATCAGGAAAAGCATGTAAAAGTTCCAAAGATCATTCTCTAAGAAATACATTCCCTGTTGCTTTTGATAAAAGGAGTATGTTTAAATTTCAAAGGAAAAGATTTAGGTTAGAAATCAGAACTTCCCATTCCATAAATAGCGCTTTATGAAGAGTTAGGAAACACATATATGATCCATCAAATCCCATTCACTCTACACAGTACAAGTCAACTACAGTTAAAGTAGTTACAGGACTTTAGACATTTTGGCACAGGCTTTTACACTGCATTACAAGAGTTTAAAATACCAAGTGTTTATGAACTTACTCTACAAGTTCATAGAAAAAAGCAGTAATTTTACAGATTTTGGTATTCTCCTGTAGCTAACACCAAAAGACAAGACATGTGATAAGCCTTCAATAAATACGTCTGAATTTTTAAGGATTCCCACCCTCTGAGTAAAAATCTTAAGTGGGGAATAATCCAAACACCACCACCAGTAGAAAAAGAGCTCTCAAATTTCCAAATGAATCCACTTACATGTCGAACAATGAGAACAACAAGAAAGAAATTGTCTTACTCATTACCAAGGGCTAAGAATGAATCTTCTGTTTGCAAACTTAATCCACTCCAACTATTTCTGTTAACTGCCCAAGAAAACAATGCATTATCTTTTAGTTTCACAAATCTTATGTTTGATCTATATTCTTGGTGAAATTTAAATGTATGTATTCTATTTCCCCTATTTCTTTCTCTGCCATATAAAAAAGTCTCTAACAAATGGAGGGGGGAGCAATCACATGAATTTCAAAAGATGGTACCCAAAAAGTCAACTTGTTAATGCATAAGCAGCCATAGTTTAATGATAAAGCTTTTAAATCCATTAAACATATTACTGGGTAGTTACATTTGTGCAGCCTAGGACCCAAATATAAGGCTGGGGCAATATTTGGTGTTTCACTTGATAAATTTTCATGAGCTGCTATTCTCCTATTAAGGAGTCAGTCACTGAATTTAACAAACTCCTTTGAGAGTTCATTTCTGTTATTCCTGCCTTGCTCAGTGTGAAACAATTTAATCTCACTGCTGTCCTCCTAAAGGGGCTGAAAGAAGATGCTCAAAGGGAAGCATTTCCAAGTAGAACAAGGAAGGTGAAATTTAGGAGCTCAGTGAATAAGCCTGAAGGATGAGGACCTCCAAAGAAAGAGCCTGGAGTTGGGGATAAGGAAGATTCTAACCAAGGAAGGTAGTAAACACAGGAAAGAAACTTAGCTTATTGAGAAACTAGATTCACAATTCTGTATAAAATAGAGTTTAACCTTTCATGGTCTATTCTGATCCAGAACTTTTTGCACAACTCCAATGAAGGAAAGTGTGCCTGCTAACACTGATAAATAAGTTCATAGATTATTAGTTCATTTCAGAATAATGTGTCATCTAGTAAGGTCAGATTTCTCTTTGCCATAGAGTGTAGCAAAATTTCTCTTTGCTATGTAAATCTTACAGCTTTCTATGGAAGTGACAGAAGCTGGAAATAATAAACTGATTTTAGGTTTCTGAAGGGAAAATTTTAAAAGATACCACCTCAAGCTCCAAATCTCTCATACTGGCATTGTGTAAACTAGAAGCCCCCAGCCCAGAAAGTAGTTTCCATCACATTTTGCCACCACAACTCTCAGAAGGGCATTCCAGAATCTAAAGACTGAGCTGGGTGAGTAAGTACATTTTGAAAAAACACTCCAGGAAATTCAGATATTCAACCAGCCACCTCCTGCCCCTATTGCCATTATCAGCTAATAATGTTTCACCATCCGCTACGGATGTAGTTTCTATTATTCTTTTATGCCTAATGTTAAAAGTCAAATCTTTAGAATAATGTATCTAAATTCAATTGGCTTTTATCCAGTTTTGAGGAGGTAAAAATAAATCCAGGAATGGCAGATCAATTTTACTTCATTGCACAAGATTTCATTTTAAAACTGCCTAACAAATTCTGAACTCAAAGCTATTTACAGTGATAGCTTTCCAATTACAGTATTTAAGTCCGCTAATATATTTCCATGAATCAAATTTTCACTACCAATAGCAAAACAAAAAGAAGTTCCAAGATTCTTCTCAACCACTTATATTTATGTAAGGGATAACTCAGATTTCTTTAAGCAAATGAATAAAAAATATTATTTCCAAGTTACCATAACTCTCCCATTGTACATTATAACTCATATCCTATATCTAGATTCAGAAAGTTTTATGATGTCTGGGAATTTTAGATAAAACTAATTCAAAGAGGTAATCAATATCTACTTTTCAGTGTTCAGATTATTTATACTTCAGTCCATTGGAATGTATCTCAGAATCACCAAAAGTTTTCACTTTAATATTTTTTCAATAGTGGTTGATGCAACTTTAAAGCACATTAGGGAATATGATGGTTATCACCCAAACTTCAAACTTTTAAGCCAACTATAAGTTGTCAAATGTATTTTGCACAGTTAGGCCCAAATACTAAAAACAAACTTAGAAAAAACTTCGAAAACATACTTACCCTAATTGGAGCACTACTAAACTTAATTTTCCTATTTGCTGGGATGTCTTCTTCTTCTGGCAAGCCAACAATTTCTGAGTATTCCATATCAGGTTGGTAGTAATTGTTTTCATCACTATCTTCCTGCTCATCTTGTTCAGTGCCTGTCTCACCCCAGTCTGAATTATACCTGGATCTAACCCTATACACATTATAGTCACTCTGCATGTAAACATGGGAACTCTCAAAATTATTTGAATCTTCAGGTACTTCCTTTCCACAACTGGCTCCAGAAGCATCAGCAGAGATAAAATCACCACCTGCAAGATCTTCCTTCGGTTGCATTGCTGCCTCCCTCCCAACCAAATTAGCTTCGGCATCTTCTAAAGGTTCATTTTGTGGTGAAGGAATTTCAGACTCTGGCATTGTCTTATTTTCAGCACAACAGTCTTCAGGGATATCTTTGTCAATTCTGTCAGGAATCTCCTGGTTACATGTGAAGCCCTCGGCTTCCTTGCTTAGCTGTGTTTCTTCACTAGGCATAGAGATACTTTTCGAAGCTACTTCTGATACTGGAGTTGTATCACTCTTCTGAGCATCCTCTATATCGTCATTATGCTTGATTGGAGGAGACCAAGCATTAGAATCCTTAAGGTGACCAAAGGTATCAAGATTTGTAACAGTAACAGATGGTAAATTCAGGGGATAATGCCCAGTCACTGAGTATTCCTTGTTCTCTGCCTTCTCCGAAACAATGGCACCGGGGGTATCGGTGTTTTCAAATACTGCACTCAGTTGACTCACAGTCGGGGAGACAGCCTCCGTCCGGGAACTAAGGCTGTCCAAGGAATCAGTACTGCCTCGGTTGGACTTGGGACCACCCCACTCATCCTGAGGTTCGCTGCCCCCGGCTTTCTCTTTCTTTGGGGAATAGCGGTTCTGTCCTGACTCATGCACACTCCTCTCAAACATCTTCCTAGTTTCTGTGAACTTTGAATAGGAAGGACCATCGTACATTGTGTCAAATCTACTAATTCGTTCTGAAACAGAGGACTCCAATTTAACAACCGAGCCATCTGTTTTCTCCACAAATTCTTTGGGCTTCATTCTTCTCTGAGGGGATGGAGGTCGACCTTTCCCCCTTGTTTTGGCAATGACTGCAGCGTTCTCATTGGGTTCCATACCCATCTGCATAAATAGATTTTTAATTCTGTTGACATTAGAGCCATATTTCCTCCCCCGGCTCTGCTGGGAGCCCTCACCTTCTTTTGCTTTTTGTTCCCCATCTGACTTGGGTTTGTCAAAGGTACTTTTCAGTGCCTGGAATTCTGTTCTATATGCATTCCTGTGAGGAGAGGCACTTCTGAGAGTGGTTCGTTCACCTGAAGGCTCCGTTTTCAACATCTTCACTTCAGGGTTGAAAGCCAGTGTTCATAATGATGGGGGAAAAAAAAAACAGAAAGACAAAACACCTCTCTTCTCTAATCACCAGAAAGTGGTCAAGAAAAAGAACCTCTCAAATGGCATACTGTGTCAGTGATCCTCCCGACAGGTGCATTAGGAAATTATTCAGTCTTTTAAGAGTTACACAAGTGGCTTTTTCAAAGCAAGACTAGAGGTTGATCTGTAACAAAAAAAGAATGAATTTGCTTATTTGAATTTGTTTAGTCAACTACATACTTTCTTTACAAAGTGGTAGAACACATGTCAAACAGAAGAAATTACTTGCTGAACTGGGAAGATAAAAGTTAGCTCTCTGGTTGAGCTTTGATAACACAAAATTTCAAACCCAATTTGGAGATCCCTCTCCAAATGACAGACGTACAAACTGCACATAATTTCACTTGAAAGCAACACTTTCAGCCTAGCTCAGGTCCATTTTGCGAATGACCTTAAAAGAAACTAGCAAGTCATTTTTAAGAAATTATCATACAATGTTCAGAAAATGAACTTCATTCGGTTTTTTCCACATCAGATAGAGCTTATTTTTTCTGTATAAGTACAATGAAAAGTTTGGAACTTATGTTTACAAATTCCAAAACATGCCTATAAAGGCTTGTTTCACTCCTTTTGGTCTAATATTCTCATTTACAGCATCTCCAACTAGTGCAGTTCAGACCAAAACAAACAGAAGAAAGTTGTTCAATGGCTTTAAGTTTCACACTAAGTTTGGTTATATCAAAGATTTGGAAGTTTCCTAAAAGTGAATATTCTTCATTAGAGAGTGAGATGTAGTCGATCAGGGGAACAAATCCTTAAGAATGTGACCATAAGAGGACAAATATCCCACCAAGCCTCTCTTTATAGCCCTGACTTGTTTATTCCTTCTTGCCTCTAACTTACAAGCCCCCAGATGCAACGCAATGCATGCTTGCTGGTCTCCTGTAGCCCACAGCTGGATTTTATACCAACATGCCAGCAGTCAAATACTTGGGGATCTGCTCAGCAGCAGACATTGTGGTTCTCAGGATTTTCCATTTTGTTTTTGTTTTGTTTTGTTTTTTTAATATCAGGCCAAGCAGCATCACCCTCAGCATCATCAGCTGAGGAAGCACACACTTCCACAGAAATCACCTCCAAACTCAGCTCCTGGCCCAGCACGCATGCATGGCCCATGCAGACAAACAAGAAAGGCTTTAGAGTGTGGTGCCTGGTTTTTTGGGTTTTTTTTTTTTTGGTAAGGCATCGACAATTTCCTTCTACCCTGACATTCTTTAAGCCTTACACACCCTCCCCTCCCCCTTACACACACCCCCACTGCCTCCCCCGCCGATTCGAACCCGAGGGGGGCGGAGGCGGGGGCGATGGGGCCGCCGGGGGATTCAAAACCTGCCCTCACCAAAGACAAACATAAATAACACCAACTTGAGAGGCAGCCGATTCCCAAGCCGGCTTCGGGACGCAGTCCCTCGGCCCCGGGGCAGGGCCGGGAGAGCAGGTGACGCCAAGCGCTATGGTAGGAGGTCGCAGTCTAGCTTTGTGCCAAGAAGCACCTGAAGTCCTAACACATTGGCTGCGGCTCCCGGTGGCTGCCAGGCGGATCCCAGTGTGGCACGGGGAGAGCCGAGCTCCCTGGCCACATTAAAAAAAGAAAAGGAAAAAAAAATGACAGGGTAATGATAATAAATCCCTTTGTTTTTCCTCCCAATGTCCCAGGAAACAATAGATCCCACTGATAATGCCTCCGATCCTCAACCTATCGCTCCTCAACCACAACCCACCCCCACCCCCAGCCTTCAACTCAGCCTTTGTACATCCCGATATTTTTCCTCTCCACCCTCCCCAACTGCTCACCCCGCGCACAGCCCCCCCTTACCCGAGCGGGAGCCGCCGCCGGCGGGGAGGGTCGGGCGGCCGCGGCTCCCACCCCCCTCC